TACAGCAGATGCTTTGGCTGCTTTCTAAAACTCGTAGCCCAATGCCGTCGCGTGAACTGAAAAATGCTTTCTACTCTTAGGAGATGTTCATATTGGAATGCATTCCCAGCAAATGTGGTGAATGCGCAAAGCATCGCGACCTATGGACATTACATCTTTGTGAGAAATGCTACAGAAAAATACGACAGTGTTACATCCGGATTAGCGATAGCTCACGCTTTAATCCGTAGTATTTGCATATGTTTGCACTCCCAACCGTAGAAGTCTTTTAAAGCTGCTGCTTCTCATCCCAGTCCATTCGTATCCATCCAGACATCCCATGGGGCGAGCGTTATCGCGTTAACCACACCTTAGAGGACTACCGGAAGGAAATTTCAACTAGAACCATACTTCTTCACGAGGTTCCTGAGGCCGAAGCATGTGATGAGCATGAAGTAACAACCCGTGAAAAGGAACAGTGAGGTTATATTCGTGAGACACTGATTGGATGATGTGTTAGCGAAATCAGTGTCACGACTGCGTACCTCACCTTATTACAAAGGCAGTGGCCCGAGAGTGTTGAAGGTGGTCCTTCAGTCAAAACATGTGGGAGCACGGCTGCTAAAATGCTGGTACATGTTCCGTTGCAGGCTACCATCTGAGCTTCGCCAGAAGACAGTCAGCGATATGCCTGCTAGAAATGATATGTCACTAAAGAACCAAACGCGTTAGGATCTATGAAAGAACAACACACCAGTAGTGTGTCGAATGAGCCCGTCCAACCTATAGAAGATGATAGTGACCAGACACCTTACACTGTACCTCGAAGATTAGACACGGGACTAACTATATGGACGATGAATAAAACGTTAAACCGTTCTGAAAATACACACGGAGAAAACGATTAGTCGCCGGCCACACTGGTCGACGACACTTCACATTCGAGTTGTACAACCTCCCAAACATTGATTAACACTGAGAAAGTTTCATGTATATACACTAACACCCAAGGGCTCTTCAGTAAACTTACCGAACTTCGACTGCGTCAGGTTGCGAATGATTGGGACCTCATTTATATTACCGAAACTTGGTTACACCAAGAGGCGACTGATGCTGAGGTTGAGATAGCCGGAAGGTCACTCATCCAGAACGACCGCCCCAGCAGAGGAGGTAGGGTCCTACTCTATTACCACAAACATCTAAATGTACAATAGTAGATGATCTTTGTGCACACGTTACCGACTCACTCTGGTGCCCTCTCCGACTAAGACACAACAACGCATTTCTCGTAGCTGTCGTTTACTGCCCCCCAACATCCACTCCGGAAAAGGAATTCCCGCTTGATCCGTTGCCTGAACAGAGTAACATGCACTAGGTACAGCCACATTCTCATCTCCGGGGACTTAAACCTACACGAGCTGGAGGTATCGGCATCCCCAGTGAGCTGTTCAAAGCAGACTTGTATAAAATAATCGCTAATATTCTCTTCTACAATCATATCACCACGCCCACCAGATTCAGGACAGCAAACAAACCGTCCATATTGGGCTTTGTGCTCACGAATGAAGAGCTCATGATTGACAAGTTATTGATGGATAGTCCATTAGGTCTCAGTGACCATGTAGTAATAACGTTTAAGTATGTGTGTTATGCAGTGTCCATCTGAACACTCGGAACTCATACAATCACACGCTACCACGTCTTGAAAGAACTCGTCGAGACATCAGCTTGGGAATTCGCAAACAACAGTCTCCCTGAAAACGTTTGGACAGAGTTCCTTGATAGACTGAGCGACATCGTCAACAGAGCATCAGAGACCAAGCCCCTTCGTCCCGCGAAAATGCCTTCAATTATAAGGAGTAGGACTCGAAAATGCCTGGCGATAAGGGATGTAGCATGGCGTACCTACAAGATTAACCCCGACTCAGAGACTTGGGGAAATTTCCTGACCCATCGCAACTATTGCACTGCAATTGTCCGTGAGGACAAAGGAACTTATCAACAGCGTCTAGCCAAAAATTCATGGCAAACAGCAAACAGCTATGTAGGCATGTCAATAATCTTCGTAAAGTGAGGCATGGAATCTCTCCACTTTTCACGACAGGCGGTAGAGTACAAAGCGCCGAAGAAGCAGCTAATGCGCTGCGACTACCATATGCCCCAATTTTCGAACTCGCAGCCTCTACCTGTCCTATAATATCAAGCACATTACCGACTCCACTGTTTACACGTGTAATTTTCAACCCATCTATCGTGCTAAGGAAGTTACATTGCGTGAGCGTAGTTCTCGGGGAGCAGACAACGTACGACCAAAGGCACTGAAGGCTGTGGCCAATGAGCTAGCTGAAACACTGTCACAGTTCTACCAAAGATGCTTTGATGAACAACAAGTACCCACTATGTTGAAGCATGGCATTAGCACCCTAATTTTTAATGGCCGTAGTCGTTCAGAACCTGCAAACTATAGTCCAGTGACTCTCCACCCTGTCCTCACGAAGGTGACGGAAGTTTTCGTCACTAAGGCTCTAATGGACTACCTGGAGAAATGCAGCATATTGGTACCGGATCAGTATGGCTTCCGTCAAAATCGATCATGCACCTCCAACCTACTGATTGCACGAGGTAGTTGGACGGAAGTGGCTGATGATGGGGTCGGAGTCGAAGTCATCTATTTGGACTTCTACAAAGCTTTCGACCGCCTTGATCACCGCAGCCTACTTCAACGGCTACGGAGCTACGGAATCGCAGATCCTATACTTGGTTGGATTGGCAGCTTCCTTCACCAACGGAAGCTCCAATGCGGGTCAGGGGATCCCTCTCTAACCAAATTGAGGTGGAATGTGGTGGCCCACAGGGCTCAGTGCTGAGACCGCGCTCATTTCTGGCGTTTATCAACGACCTGTCAGAAGTTATCTCCTCAAATTTCCTGATTTGCGCCGATGACGTCAATACATCGTGGGCGGTTAGTAACAAGCCAGATCACGAGCTGCTCCAACATGACCTAGATTGCATTTGTAAATGCTCAAAGAGGAACCTGCTTCAATTGAACATCGCTAATTGCAAGGTGATACATCTGCGTCACCATCCGGTGGGCGCTTACAAGCTTGGAGACCACACATTGGAGAAGTTCTCTCAGGAGCGTGACCTAGGTGCATTGGTACAGAAAGATTTCGGGTGTACAAAACAAGCAGAGAAGGTGACGAGAACCGGCAATCAACACTTGGGCCTTCTTCGCAGAGCGTTCGGTTGGTTTGAACCTTCAATCTTTCCCCAAATGCTTAACGCCTACATGCGACCGCACGTGGAATATGCTAATCAGTCGTGGCAGCTGTGGGAGAAACATGCTTTCGTTGCTCGCGAGACTCCTCAACGAAGGGCAACCAATAGTGTCAGGGGCCTCTTTCATGTGCCCTATCAGCTTAGAGAGACATCTATAAGAACGTACAGCTGTCGTTATCGGCCTCTGCGGGGGGATCTCATAATGATTTACCAGATTCTGGAGAACCCAAACCACATTTGCCCTCCGCTGCTGGAATTGAACCACAACACTAACCTAATAGGTCATCCTCTGAAACTGAAAATACAATATAGCCGGCTTGAATGCCGTAGAAATTTCTTTTCCCTCCGCGTGTGCCAGCCTTGGAACGCCCTCCCTAATTATGTCGTCTCTGCTCCCAATCTGGCGATATTTAAAATAAGAGTTGACGTTGCGTTGTCCCATTTGCATTTCATTTTATGAATTTTTAGCCAGGGGATACAAAACGGAATCAAATGGTGTCTTACCAAACTCCCAACCAATGGATTTCTGGATTTATACGTTTAATACGCGAACATCTCCGCTATTCTACATAAGTCTATACTGAGTCCACCAAAATTCTTTTCACTTTATCATTTAATTCACTTTTCGCAATAATTTCCATCCCGCGGGACTTGTTAAGTATTGCATTTTTACCCTTAATAAACCACTGGTCCATTGTTCCATTGTACTGAACTGAACAGACTGAAAACCCGTGTAATTTACAGTGGAAGTTGTCTCCGTCTACGGGTGACCTCTTTCTGACATACCGGAAGTTGAAGAACAGTGTCGCGTTAATATTGAAACTGAGCCGTAATACCAAACTAATGGGCTAGCCTCACAATGTAGCCGGCTGCAATTCCGCCGGAATTTTTTCTCTAGTTGAATAGGTCAGGCTTAAGTGATTTCTGCGCCCGGTTGATGTCTGCAAACGTATTTTAAATTACAGTACACGAGCTGGACGGGTTACTTAGTTATATAAAAGGCGGTAACCGTGCCTTCAAATACTGCTCACTCCAGCAACCCGAGTTTGTGGGATAGAGTTTCATTGGGGCACCACAAGGTTAAGTAATTGGGCCACAGGTTGTTCTGTTTTTATGATTAATCTAGCCAGGGTGCTCATCTTACCCTCATGCCCACCGCTGAAGACCTCAAGCCAAAACGGGCTAGCCAGGCAGAACCGGATTATACAACATTGGTAAGCAAACTTTTGTAGTGTTTCCCCGAGGTTTATTCACAACCTGGCATGGTTGGCTTCGGCAACTTGTAAAGTGTTTGGTTTACGACGCAGCAAGCATTTCGTGAGAGTCACTACGAAGTCCTCAAACAGTATATTTGTTTTGGAATCAGATTATCTTATTTGCATCTGGTACCATCTCCAAGAATCGAATTAACGGCAAAGGTTCAGCGTACTTACATGACTGGCCCTCCTCCATAACATCCCACTGTTACTGTGCACTATTTTGTGCTCTGCAATTTTTCCAACAAAACGCTAACGCCCATTTTTCCCAGACAGTTAACTCCGAGTAGATTGCGTGAATTATTTATTACTCTCCTATGGGAATCCAGCATCCGCAAGACAGAGTGGATCGTTTAGACGCATGAATTTCAACACTGAGGCAGGAATAAGCGGTTGAATGCATAAAATTTACCAAAACGACAGAATTACCGGAAAGATCGGATTGCATGGTCATGCATCAAAGTGAGGTAGTCTGTTTAAACAATGTTAATAAGTTAGTCTCTCCATCTCTGTGGGCAAATGGCATTCCACTGGCTCAGAGTCAAGCAGTTGATGGGCTGCTACTTCATCTAATTCCGGTGCATCATCATCTTCCAGATGATCACTGCTGCACCACACGTTGGTCACTTGGACATCAGTTCCGAGCCTTCCCTCCAGGTAGTCAGTGATATTGGGGTGAGGTTGATGTCCATCTTGATGTTTGACCAGAATCCAATTTTCTATGTAGGCTTTATCTCCTCTAGGGTCGTGAGCGGATGACCCATCCAGGGGCGGGTGCCAGAATGGGCGGTATCGCGAAGCAGGTGGTTTTCGCCTGTTTGATTCGTACTCACTGATGATCCATTCGACCATGGAAGGGGAGAAATTTTGTTGGAGTATATGTTCAAGTTGTGTTTTACTCCCCACGATGCGTATTTTGCTGGCTGTTGTGGCCGATAGAAATGCTTTCATCATTTGCCACGCCGCCTTGAATACCGCACCAGGTCTGATGCAGATCGCTAGGCCAAGCCGCTCCGGATAGTTGTTGCACATGGTTTGTGCAGCTTCATAGCCGAAGCGAGGATGGCAATTTCTTGGGCTCATACCTGAAGCACAAAGACACAAATGACAAAGCGCTACTTGCAGTTGAATACGCGGGGTAAGCATCCATAAATTACAAATCTGATGAGCTGTTATGTGGTGCGAATTCCTGGTACTTTCGTTGTCACCATCATACCATGAAATAACACTCCTCAATTTCGGTGCACCAGGTATGCCTGGGATTGCACCAAGGGAAAGTAATGTGATCTATCCCCACAAGTCTAATAGCAGCAAGCCAATGACGGACCATTCTAGCGGCCCAGCCCAAAGTACATACCTAAGGACCACAGACACAGCTTTAATGCAGAAATAACTAACCACCACAGAAGTATTCGCGCTTTTCGAGTTTCTATACCATTTGTCGTGACGTACAAAGGAGAAGCTTTAGCACAACTAGTTGGCGTATCGAACACCCATGTATGTATATATTAAGAAATCCTCGTTTCACGTTGTGCAACGCCGGGCAACTCAACTTTCTGTGACCTAACGGAGAGATGACCCCCGCTGAAGTGGAATGAAAACTGAGGTGGCCACCCGGTGAGTTTATCGTACGCCATCTGTCCGCAGGTAGGTTCACGGATGCTGCAAACCAGCAAGCTGAGAAAGTTACACTACTCGAAAATAGAAGCTACGTCGGACATTGAGCCTCTACGAAGGTTGAAAGCATTTCATGCGAAGACAATGGTTGCACCCGGATTGAGCTGTATTGCATCGTAGTAAGTAGTATGCTAGGACCAGACCAATGATAAACTAGCTAAATAGCCTACCACAAGCCTCACAACAACCGAGCACAGCTTCTGGTACAACCGCAAAAAAACATTGATCGAAAAAGATAGTTGTGCTGAGATGGCAAAATGCAATCGAGTAGCGTCGTAAAGCGTAATGCCTTCTGTACACCGTGAATTTAGGCTGTTCCATTCAATCACCGCTTCGATTTCAACCCGATGGAAAATCAATTGGTAATCATTAACTATCTCATGATGCCACGTGCCAAGGTGGCTTGTTGTCTGTTGTAACCTCTGGTATGCTGTTCTACTAACTGGCTACCAGTGAATGACAGACACTGACGTGTTTTATTTGGCCTCGCGATTGTGCCTCGCAATGAAAATGCACAGGGACTATTGATGATCGTACTGCTAAATGTTACGGGTGATTAATTGAGTGCATGATAGCCGGTGTCCACGAAGCGAAGTAAGTTCTATCCCCAGCTTCGACTAATTCTACTTAAGGCTTAAATTCGAAAACGAAGCTGATTTGGTTCCGTCAGCTAACAAATGGTGATACCGATGGCGCAAGTGGCGAAATCTAATTAGGGTAAAATCTTTCAACATGCTGTTGGTTGGGTTAGTGGTGTTGAGTACCCGTTTACAGCTTACTAAAACATTCATGTTTTCCAGAATTGTATTTTCAAGCTGACCAAGATTCGGGTAACATTGGCACCATGCCCACTCACCACGTGATCCACACACAGGAGTGAAAACATTTGACCACTATCTATGAGCATGCGGTACATCCAAGCACGTGATAATCATGGCCGATTGGTATAACATATACACGAAATCATCTCTTCCACCAAGAGTGTATGGTTTGCCGAAGCTACATAAGCCCGACCTATTGTAGATGGCATAGGCTCCGCGATGTATGAACTAGCTAGCTATTTGGCAAGCATATTACAACAATTGGCAGGGTAAACGAATACGTTCGTAAAACTCTTATGACTGCGAAAAAGTGTCGGGTCTTGAGATTGAGTCGGATAAAATGATGGTCAGTTTCGATATCGGTTCGCTCTTTACCAACGTGGCAATATGCGACGCTTTAGGAATGGCGCAACACCGTCTAACTGGGGACAGTAAGGTGGAAGAGAGGACAAAGCTTACGGTAGATAACGGAAGGAATGACATTGTGCCTTAACATGTTTTATGTCACATTCCCATCTAGATTATGCACTCAGGAACAGGAAGTTGCAGTGGGATCGCCAGTATCTCCTGTACTGGCAAATGTGTACATGGAAGAATCTGAAAGGAGGACGCTGACTGACTCTTGTAGCTCACCAAAATATTTGGTGGCGCTACTGAGATGACACTTTGTTATCATATAACGGGGTATAAAAGACGAGTTACTAAACCGCTTGAACACGCTTGCGGAGACTACAAATGTCACTTTGAAGTTGGAATCTTGAAGTGACACATTGGCATTCCTTGGTTCTTTAGTTCACAGGAATGGCGGTAGTCTAATAACAACGATCTACAGTAGACCGGCGGACACGGTGCACTTCAATATAATTCAGGTCACCCAAAGTATGTGTTTGCTGGAGTCGCCTTACCTCTATTTCAAAGAGCCCTGCTTCTGTGCACATAGGAAGAAGATAGGAAGGCCGCCCGGAAAGACACAATGGTAGTGGATGCCCGAGGCGGTTAGTGAAACGCCAGTTGCAACGAATTTTAAATCCCCTCCCACGGTGTACTACGGAGTGCATTGGGACGGTAGATATTATTTATAAAGATAGCATTTTGGAGGCCATCCGGAGGGTCCTAAATAAAAAAACATAAGGGTGATTTTTCAGAAAGGCCAAACGCTACACTCTATATTGGTGCACTTGAAAGACTCCACAGGTAGGATAACTAATTGCGTCTATAAGGTTAGTTGCAAAACCTGATCACACGTGTACATCGGCCAAACTGCGAGAGAGCTATGCTCAAGGATAGCAGAACACAAGAGACGCATAACACGGTCACCGAGAAAAGAGCTTGAATATAGGGCTCTACTTAGGCATTCGGCAGTAGCGATACAAGCGATAGATACAGGTCATGAGATCGAGTTGGATAACGTGGAAGTCGTTAGAAAGGGGTTGCCATCAACGCCCCAAAGGCTGTGTGCTGAGGCGGTGGAGATTAGCAAGACGAACAGCTGCGTGAACAGAATGGATGGGACAGAGCTTTCGAACATCTTAACCCGACCAGTTTGAGGAGCACCGGTGGACTGATCTAGGGCAGGGAATGAACACCACATCATCCCCGCAGCATCGTTAACAGGGCTTACGTGTGTGACCTAGTAGCTCGGACCACAACCCAACTTGATGATCGGATAACCGAGCCAGGTTCTCAGTGTTGGCCGCCGCCGTCGTACGCAACCATACCTTACCCTACTTGGACTCACTGCCATCATACAAGCACATGCGATAATTTCCTCTTTCAAGTGCCATATTTATCTGTGTAACATTAATATTTATCTTAGTTTAACCTGATTTCGAAACTATAGAACCGATTTAATTGGCAGTGATAATTGACAACAACTCTCCTAGGGACGTGTCGTGATACAATAGAATGCTTATTTAACTTCATCGCTAGCTGTAGTATCCAGTAAAGTCTGATAATACTGATGATCTCATCAAATGTCAAAATGTACGTAACTAGTTTAGGTATTCTGGGATATCAGGAACAAGAGGCATAATTTCAGCTTTTCAATTTTCTCCAGGCTCTCCAGAGGGCATGTGAACAGAGCATCGTAAATTCAGGATACGTTTAGTAATGTCCCAATAAGGTTGATCAACTCTCATATAGACAGTACACGCAGGCGGGCAGTGGTGTCGTGAGTGCCACCTAATCAGTTACATTCATCTTTTGACATTAAATTGTCCTGTCATTACAATGGTAATAAGCGAAGTGCGAATGCAAATCAGTGTGAATGTGGTGACTGATCCAGGGTTGTTAAAAGCACCGTGTGTAAATTATTCTTCGGAGAAAGCAACGGAATATACCGAGAGAGCAATCCCACTAAGGCTGGCTGAAGTGCAGGCACTGTCTTTATTCCTTAGTACTAGTGGATACTATGCCGAGTAGGTAGTATTCCAGCCCTTGTGGCCTTCGTAACCTCGGTACCCTGAGTCCTTTTAATCTTTGCAACAAAGATGATTCTCACATGTAAGGAAAAGCTCTGGCGATGGACACATCCGTACCGGAGTCACAAACTACGTGTGTATATTAGGACAATTCAGCTATGCGAGACTGGTTGTAAGCACCGTGGATCTCTTGCATATGAACTTACTAGATGTGGGGAAAACGTGATGCTTTAATGACCTCGCAGCTGTAAACAGGTTGATTACGAATCTGTGGCCTAAGGACGCACTAACGCTATAGTTACTGGAACACCTCATAAAATGTAATGGACGAAATGGAGTGTTGTGTTTTTGGTTACATCAGCAGCTTACTAGCAGGACATTTATGGATCAGAGCTATCTACTGTGCGTGATGAGGTTGTACAATCAAGATGACACAAATCCCATGTGATTGACTCACTTGCTTGTGCGGATAACCCACTCATTGGAATCTTCATCCATTTGGCAAGAACTACACTGCAATTTCCGGTGCCTCTTTTCGGCATGACTGACATTAATCTCACAGTTCACTGCCTCACTCGCCCAACGGTCGGTAGTGGTTCATGAAGAGGTTCGTGCATAATATATCCCTGAGTTATTAATGAGCTGGACACGAAGCGACCAGATTTGTTCGTGATTTTCCGCTCGATCTACTAAGTACCAGCGGACTGGAACACTAAAAATTGGTCATGTGTGCCAATCGATTGATGCGGACACACGAGGTATCGAGAGGAGAATCGGATTAAGCGTATCTCACCCTTGCCCCTCGCCCATTGCGGTGGGTGTTATAAAGCCAAGTTGATGCCGGAACAGCTGATTATGCTATCAGAGAAAACTAGCACAGTTGACAGGCGGCGTTGTCACTTACCACATGGGCGCAGATGCACAATAACTGCCTCACTTTCGTACCAAAGTCCACAGCAGCTGTTATTGATTGCCTTGTCACTAACTGACCTGGCGTCAAAGTGGTGGGTGAGCACTGAGATTTTGCTCGCCGACGGCCTGCTCTCATTACTGAGTGCAGGTTTATCGGTTCAGATCTCATTTCCCTTCAGTAACTAGCTCACAAGTAGTCGTCGATCAAAGCGTGGTGTTGTGTGGAAAAACGTATTACAATAAAGACCGTATATTGACAAACCATAGGACTGGACCAAAGTGGTCAACCTAGATAGGTAGACAACATATGGAGGTCCTAGACAAAAGCTAATCGTACCTTACAGTGCTGTTGTGGGTAGCACATTATCAACTTTATTTTCGCCTACATTCTGTTTCGAAGATATTAGATGTGCTTTCACCTAATGGCAAGCACAGTTACGTCATACATTAACGTAAAAATATCAAAACACTGTGGTTTCCTCAAAGCCAAATCATTGTTTGGGAAATCTATCCTTTGCTTCTGTAGCTTATCACAAAATAACTAAACGGGTTAGCTTAGAATTAGTTAATCGATATCAAAACAGGTACTCAAACTCTAATTTGCAATCTGTGGGATGAGTGGGTACTTGTTTCAAAGGGTTGGCTTGCTATTGCCTGCGTATGTAGACTGGTTAGGAAAAATCTCACACAACAATGCGCAAGTCTCCTTCGTAGACGCGGATCTGTGAGGCTACATTGTGGACAAAAATACACACGCACATACACCGACAGAGAAACTGCTGCATTGAAAGCCTTTGCGGAGCCGTGAACCGCAGTGATTTTGGTTCAGGAGAATTTCACTCATTACAAATCCCGCTACCTACACATTAGTATTTGAACAACCGAGTTGAACAGCGGTCATTGCACAGTAGACCTTCACATGGTAAGGTTACAGAGATTCAATTAATAATGACTGTATTGACCCAGGTGGTCAACTTATAGAGGTGGGCACGATACACATGTGGTCAACTTCGAAGGCTTTGCTGTACTTGCCCCAATACAGCCTGTTCTCCTAAACGTGTTGGCTGGGTCGGTTGTGAAGGGTGTTTTCAAAAGGCGCTTGTTGTGCACACTGGTGTCTATAGGTAGTTGTGTTTCAATCTGATGAACACACAAGCCACTTTGATATTGCAACCATGTCCGCAGGCATGTTTTCGCCGCGGAGCAACTGCTGGTACCGGCATACCTAAGTGCATTGTTGTTGTATCCAATAACAATGAATTTCAGTAAGCATATTATTCATTCCAACTGAAAAGCGGCTAATCAAGAAAACAGTGTTGCCTGGTTGAAGCTATGTGCTGCATGTCATATGTTCTCGTTTCGGCTTCGGATTCCGCCGCTATCACGTGGACTGTCCGGCTAGAGGCGGCCGGTTTTGTGGGCGGGTATACACGCGTACATTCGCACACCCCATGCCCCCACGGCGTTTACGCTTCGCATCGATTGACGGTCGTTTGTTTACTAAAACACCACACCTGGTGGTTAGCACTGCAAGGGAATAACTGTGGCTCACCGGGTGACTGTTAAGAAGATCGGTTGGTTATGAAGTTACTGGTCAGCTGGACAACGCACTCATTGTCGATATGGTTACTAGTGAGTGTAACTGGGGCGCTACAACATGATGAATCCTCGCGGGGTTTTAACAAACTACCCAACGGTTTGCCAGACGAGTGCACACAATTGAAAATAAGTATAAAATCCTATGCTGGACAGCATGATAATCCCACTGGGAATCTGACGACAATCACAACCGAAGATGACAACGGCTACGAGATTCGTGTTCGACGGTCTTCCGATAACCTCATGGTGGGCAGATGGTACGAGCCCGGCAGGGAATACTCGATTACCCTAACCAACCGATATCCATCTATCGGATTTCGAGATGCAGTACTGTGGCTGCAATTTGGTAAACCGGAAGACAGTATGAAAATGGACATGTCGTCACTTAGTGTGGAGCCAGTGACGACAAACACGCAGGTGAGCTAATAATACAAGCCTAGAATATACCTATAGCTATTGTTTAGATTATACGCATTAGAATATTCTGGGGATGCGATCTTTCATGATAGTGCACTGAGAGATTCACGTATGTAATTACCATGTAAAACAAGAGGATTTTACATGTTCATGCCTAATTATACGACTTCGGTACCAGCATGCTCCTGACCATAGGGTTTCGAACGCGAATGATGGGAATACAACTCGATATTCATTTGCCGACGCTAATTGTGTCGTGTTTCTAAAAGCTTCCTTACTTTGTTAAACACTTTAGCTGAAAAAGGGCGATGATGATGATCAATTTTAGAGGAAACAGTTTAAGAGCGATGCTCGTTGTAACATTTTAAGAAGAAAATGAGTACAGCTTTTCTTGTTACTCTAAACCCATAAGAGTTGTGAATGTCTCATATCTCATTATTGCTGAAGGAATGGGCATACCTGCCGTTAAGTAACGGAGTTCGGTCAACTCGCGGCAGTCCAATTGAGAAATAGGTTCAAGCAGAAGTTTCATCATGGATTCCAACGACACATATCAACTACTTATATATACGTGCTAACTTGCACACTGTAGCTTAGGTGGACTCTGAGAAGGGGAAATGATTGGTCATCCACAGAAGAGTGGCACTCAGTTGTTGTCCATCAGCTTGACGAGCGCTCCACATACTACCAAAAACTCCATGGACAATGGTGTAAGGCCCCCACGATACACTGATTGTGCAGTTGATAATGGTAACTGTCCCAAAGGATTCTACCTCCATCAACCCTACATCAATGTAACTGACCCACCCGTTCTCTCTCATCTGTATCTGTGAAAGATTGGAAACCCCAGGAATAGAGCTTCCGACGAAGACGCATAATTACCAAGCCTGATTTCATAGTGCTTACGTGAATTCCAACGGAAGGCTCTGCTTAGATACACTCCTAGCTTCACATATTCGCCACCGTCACAATTCCGTAGGCCCAGTCGGGCGATGACGCAGGTGTGCTGGGCTGCAGATCAATTCGCATCGTTCCATTGCATACAAATAATGGCTTCGATCTTCCCCGAAATACCCTAGTCATGCAAGGTTTATTTTATTTGCGCGTTTTCTTCGACACGGATTCATGAAATACTATGGTCTGTGTCATAAAAGTTGAATGCATAAGCGCTGCTGCATGCTTTGCCGCAAAAAATGTCCGTTAGCTAATATTTTCTCGCTTAAATGAACTGAAACGGAGCATTGACTGTTTTGCTTCAAAGGTGGACACGAATGCCACTAGCCAATGAAATCCAAGTTGGTTGATGAGGAGCGGTTTGAAATGCACGCGGGCTTCACTGCAGACACAGTCGATTTAAAACACAGCTCAGTTAGAGCGAATTGATGTGAAGGGTGGCCGCATATAGGAAAAGGGTTGGAAGCAAGACGCCAAGTAGCCAACAGTAAGACAAATTTCGGTAAGGTAACTTTCGTCCGCATCAGCCGCTGATTGTACCGGCGGGTTGTCCTGGATTCTTATATGGACTACATCTTTTCTCAGTCAGTTACATCCACATAGATTTCAAGTCCGACAAACAGGAAATGACGCTTTTTTATGGATCTCTCTATACCATTTTCCATTGAAGTTGGGCATTCGGGCAAAACATTTACGCCTGGGGGTCAACGGGGTCGCTCCTCCGGGGCAAGCAAGTTGAGTCTTCGCTATGTGGAATAGAACCACTCACTGGCATGGTAGGGGCTGTTTCATTGGCCAAGCGCCTTCAGCAAATAGGACCTGAGACGCTTAGCCAATGAAACAGCCCCTACCATGCCAGTGAGTGGTTCTATTCCGCATAGCGAAGACTCAACTTGATTGCCTCGGACGAGCAACCCCGTTGACCCCCAGACGTAAATGTTTTGCCCGAATGTCCAACTTCAATGGAAAATGGTATAGATGGTCCTTAACGCTGTCAAAATGCATCCAACAGGCGCGTGTGTTCCTAACTGCTGTTGTTCATTGAGGGAACTAATCCCAAAGCAGTCAGTATCATCCCACTCTGTGTACCCATCTATTTTACTATCGGCTGATTTGAGACTGGTCACTCAACGAACTGTACGCTTTATCTAGGAGTATTTTTGGCCGTTTGATGCAATGTGCTAGCGTTAAGGACCATCGTACACGATCTATGGCCGAACAGGATTTCCTTAAGGATGAATTTGGGTGCGCTATGAATGCTGAGACAAAAGGTATAGAAGGTAGAAATCTAGAAAGTTATCTGTAGAGAAGTATGTCACCTACACGCCCTGGTAACGCATAAAGGACAACTACCAGCTGTGGGAATTTATGAGCAGATTTATCAACTATTTAACGTTTTTTACGTTTTAACGTTTGTAAACTTCATGAATATGAATGTAACGTAAAAGCCTTGGTTTAAGAATCCCAACAATCGGCCGCATAATGCTGTGAAAAAGGATAAGCTGAATTTGCTATATTGGCCTCCTAAATCGCTGGGATAGCTATAAACCAAGTACCCTGGATGCACCGGTCAACCAGTACCAACCTGTGACAAGCGACATCTGTTCTCTAAGAAGGGTTCCCAATAGGTATATTCAGGTCAGGAGTAAGAGGGTTGAAGACTAGTCACTTATATATATACTGAGGTATAGAAGTAATGTTAAAAGTGCAAATCTACTGAAAGGGAACCAAAGCCCTGTAACAGCTGAGTTTTTAAGGCCACACGGGTTAATGCATGACGCCAATTTGCAGCTGTGTAAGCTTGCACAGTGGCAATGGGAGTCTACAGACTTTCCGTGACTTACACTAGTCATTCGTCAACTGGAACTTAATCGGAGGTCGCTGAAACTGTGCTGTCTAAAACATACTCAGCCACGGAGCCGACACGAACGGGTGAAGTGCTGACCTTAACACATACCGGGAGGATTTCCCTGTGATATTCCTGTGTTAACGGCGGCCAAAATGCTAGGAAGAGTTTTACAGGGGCCACCATGATCACCTGAAGCCGATGCGCAATGGAGGTAGCTGTCCGGATGCATGGTGCATTCGGAATCACCAGATATTCTTGATCTAGCGTTCAAAAACCACTGATCCTGGTCAACTCAATTCTGACGTTGGTAGTGCCACTGTTCACCCACTACAAGTGGATGAAAGTATGTGCGCATGCTGGTAACTAATACTTATAACTTCTTCATACTTCGCATATGCACACAAACAGATGCATCGATCCCAAGACGTTTCATTTCCAACCATACCGTGTAAACAACACTGTGAGTGTGTGTGCTCTCAGTGAATGACATGCGAGACTACCAAAGATCGATAGTTCATTGCATTGCTGCCTCTGTTCGTTAGTGAGGTCCAGACGTATTCCTGCGGTCCAAACGCTGGTGCAGCCCAAACAACAACGGACCATAGAAGAGCGTAGCAAGTGACACATGTGGGGGTATGGTACTCTTAAGTCAGGTCGACGAACGGGTAGTATTATACTTAACGATGAACACTCAAATCTGGAGCACATGTCAGTTTGCACGCTTTTTGAATTCACACCACCATCACGTTCCTTGGGACTGAGCGTGTTTGCACTTCGCTCTGTCTGTCTGTCAGTTCGCAGCCAGGTCGATTGTGGGTGTCGTTACGCGTGATCCAAAATAAGCCTCCCATGCGTTTTTACAGCGTCCTAGAAAGTGAGCCTTCCAAGCATCCACCCCAATGAGGAGTGCAACGAAGGAGTCATAAGAGATAAGGTGTTCGTAGGATGTTAATAAAAATACTCCACTAAGGTAGTCACTGAAATGCAAGGCCAGGTTTCATCATGGGGTAATGATTTGCATACATGCTCTATCCAATGAATTGCATTCTCCAGGCATCCCATAACCATTCCTACAGGCCCATTTATGGATTACTATGTTGAAATTTAACACATGTTTCCTCGGTGGGCGGGAATGATTCAATGGATTTCTTAGTGCCAAACAAAGCTATGGATTTTGGTATGTTAAGACTTAAAAGTTCAGCCGATTGGCTTGGTACATGAGGGCCATGGGTTGTACCTAATGATGAGAGTGCACAACCGCCACAGGCATATTTGTTACCGCTGAACCGAGCTTTTAGAATGTGGTGAAAACCCAAAAAGACTCTATTGCCGGTACGAGCGGTAGAAAGTGGACCTACCACGCTGTTGAGAGCAGAAAACACGTAAGATAGCCAAGTTGTTTTTGACCTAAAATATTGCGTGATCTCCCTCAAGTACCTACTCTTACAACTCCTACCCTCACACAGTGGGGCTGAGCCCTCTATTATTACGGACCCTTAAATACTGTGGGAATTCCCTAAGTCAATGACCATTTAGTTCGATTGACGTATGGTTTGAACTAGTGAATTAAAGTCACCGTATGCTGAATTCTTTTCGGCCCACAGGACCAATTGCTAGCATCAGCTTTCTTCTCTTTTCTGTCTTTCCTTGTTTCTTGTGCAACGCAACATGGCTCCCACATTCTTCGACTGCGCGCGTAGCATAATGCAATCTCGTCATAACGAACGCCAGTGTAACGAGCTTTTCAAACTAGCGCCGTTTCAGTTAAGTATTTCCCTTTTCTCTATTATTACTTCGTGAATTGCTGTATCTAAGTACAACAAAGTGTCAGTAAAATAAACTAATTTCTGAGGCCCTTTAATTTTACTTCTTCCTTTATTTCATTGCATACTATTTTCATCAGTAATGCAGTTTTCCTGTTCAAGTGCTAATCTTTGGTTACAGAGTGCCGACCGAAAGACAGGCTCTATGAAACTGGGCTTTAAGCCATCACCGCCATTCACCAATGGTGAAATTCAGTTGAGCCTTTGATTAATCTGGAGGACTCAGCTTGAACCCAGCTACGCAAACATGTATGCCTTCTTCTGCGGTCTCCGCTGTGAGCGAACCTCTTGTTGGTACAATATGAAGTAGCAATAACAACCCGATGAACCTGATGAGAGTTGAAATCAACACAAAAAGGCCATGAAAAAGCACTTAAACCGTTTATGCGTTTAGTTTATCGTACCCAAACGCCTGATGGATGGTTTGGGATTCGACTAATTACACTTGAGTTCGACATTAAGCTGCTTAGTGCTCGCAACAACGAAACTGTATCATTCCAAAAGTGTAATGAAATTGTAGTAGTGCCAGTGGATGATCGGTACAAATGAGATGAGGAAATCCATCATCAGGGCGAAATACCTTGTTCGAAATCATCCGATGCATAAGCTCAAGAGGTGGTCTTGTAGACAAGAGTCGAACCTTGCAAAAATGAACACCTGACTCATCGTCAGCCATTTCGAGTGGGAAATTAAGCCAAATTCCCCGGGGAGCAGTTCAGCTGACTTGCTGAGACAGCGCTGATAACCGGCCTCCGGTACGCAACTGGGGAGTTAGCGTCGTGACGTCCGTTACCAAAAATGTTGGCGCGCGTGAGGTGCGACAACGCAGCCGGTGTTGGCAAACGTCCTCCTCGCATGCGGAAGACGGTGTCGACTCGCTGATGATGGGCCTAGGCACTATGGCGCTACATGAAGCAAATAAGTGCCCATCCATCAATTATAATTTAAGTATGAATCTTTCAACAGACTTTGGCGGAAATCACCATTTCACCTGTTTTACTGAGAGTTCTCACAACTTAATTAAATGCAGCATAAAGTGACTGCTCACTGGACCACGGGAAAGCCAAATACATCAAAATCGGGATGGTTAATTAGCGGTAGAATACATATTGAGCATAAATTAACGCAAGCCCAGGTGATCGCAAACCCACGATTGATACACAGTCTTCCACCTACTACTTACTACTAATCAGTAACCGCCTTAGCAGCTTACATGCCACCGTGATTAGTGGCAGTTGGCAAATTAAGTCGTAAGTTTGCACGTCTATAACATGAATTTTCGCTCTCCAACATAAGCTTCTTTAAACCCGAGAGGATATATATATATATATATTGCGGATGCTTTAAAGCCAATTTATTTGAAATGAAATCTTGTACAACTGAATACTGGCATTAGGAGAACAAGTGTCACACAAATATACAATCCTTAAACTGCGTCCTTTAGAAGATCAGTTTATCCATTCCGACAAGGGTATCTTAATTTACAAGACGACATCTAATAACTTCGGGCGATACGCACAACATCCCAAAACCCATTTTCATTACTTGGCAAATGACAGCCTTAGTGACCTTGTGACTAATCTACGAAAGCAATGTTACAACGCTAAGTTAAAACGGATACATCCGCAATTGCAAGCATTTATCTGCGACGATACCTACTATAGTTAGCTTTAATTATAAATCCTTTCTATCACAAAACATTTAGACAACCAATCCAGCTTCGCTGATTACTTACAACTTAATGTCCGCTGATTACAACACTACTGGCAGGGCTGGTCAAAGTTGCCTGACCCCCATTTTTTCATCCTTGGTGTACAAGTGCCCAATTGTGGACACTAGGTTTTATAGAGAGCGTTTTATTTCCAGTGGCAGCATTGGAATATGCATGTGACATAATTATTTGTGAATTGACACCTGGACTATATGAAGGCTGCACATTTCGTTTGAGTTTCGCAATCGTACAGTTCTGTACTGGAAATAAGGCTACATGCAACCGGCTCCGGTTAGTATCAGACATTCACTCACATTCGGTGGTCAGTTCAATCACACTGTTATTTTTCTCATGACCGACGATTGTATTATAAGGATGACAACTGAGAAGACCATTATCGCACATCCAATTAGAGAATATGAAGTCGCAGCCGTGGATACAGCGGTTTTGCAAATTAGATCGCAACCAGTGCCACTCTAAAGATCAGAATCACGAACACCGCGTACAGCAAAAATTAGCGAACTGTGCGCTTGAGCACTGAATATTCACGTTTCACGGGTGTATAAAGCGTAATGTTGACTTGATTTGACTTGAAATGGCAGTTTTCACCGAGTATAACGATAGCCGCCAGTTAACATCTGGCAGCAGGCGTTTGGTGTGGCATTGGAGTATGGTTAGATGAGCCTAAAGCATCCACACCCGCTTTGCTCCCTCATAACTGTTGACCGATTTCTTCGGACAGCGTTACTTACCGGCTATTGCATCTAGTTGGGGGGGACGCCCGAGCTTCATTATTCCATGGAAATGTACAACGAAGGGAAAAGCAGACCTCAGTGCTAAATTTGGCTACTTCACACTGTCTTCCAAGAGCATGCACCCCATTAGCCACACCAAGGGAAAAATATTCCAATGTATATGATACGGTCCTTCAACTAGTGACGATCTTGCATGTGGTCACCACAATCGAATCTGATCGTTTCTTTCTCACTGTTGTATTGCTTTCTATACGCTTTTCGTAATTTATCCAGTAATCGTTTTCTGTTAATTATTTCCGATCGTACAGCTTACTGGTAGAGTGGCAGTGTGTTCAAAACGTGTGGGTCAATCGCACGTCCCCATACTGCTCATCAGCAACCATATGTGCTAGCGGTGAATTCATTCATCGTGTTAGCTGCATAGTTTGAAATTTAGAAGCGTATGGTCCAATGCACTGTGTCATTGCAACCGTTTCGTTGTGATTCGTTTTATGTGGTCTGACCAAAAAAATGAGCAGGCACCAACTGACAATTCGATTCGTCTTACATGGAAATCAGAAGCAGCATTTCTAAACGGTGATGACACCAAAGTAGCATGGGGCAATTTGGACCTCAGTCAGGTCACACAACTTATCTAGACAAAGTACAGTGGTATAAGTGCGTGAGTATAAATGTGCTTGTCTGGGACGAGGCCGGGTAGATGCATACAGAATAATTTATTTAACTGACACATTAAGATAATTTATTATGTTACAGCATTAATTCGTCGGTGGCGTGCCACTAACCTGCCATGCGAAAATTCAAATTCCAATGTCAAGCAAAAGATAAATTGCAGATTGTATCTCAAGGGCCAAGCCTTATGAAAGCTCCTTGTTGGACTTTGAGCTGGCCGACTGGTGGAACACCATCTGTTGCACCCATGCACTGAATGTAAATGATCCTTTTGTTTCCAACTCGCGATGAACTAACTCATCGTACTCCTGTGTTTACTTTAACCACGTATTCTATCGAAATGAGAGAAAGCGTACCTGGTCCACTCTTGTATCAACTACCAACGCGGGTGGGATAAGTATGATCTTCTGGATGAACTATGGTGCCAGCAACTCTCACAGCGCTTACATATGTTGTCAGACCTAGATTATTTCTAATGTGCTCCTTGCTATGTCCTAAAACAAGCAATACAGCGAAATACCAGGGAACACGATATCGTGTAAGCAAGCAATCTGTGGAGCCGCGTAGATGGAGGATTTGGTCCTGCGTGAGCAATGGTAGAATATGTTCTCTTTGAGTCCAATTTGCTGCCTAGATCGTTCCTGAAATTCTTCCCACTCATTACCTTTCCTTACTACTATAAATTCTGCTTTACACGTGCTTGCTAATCAGGGATTTACCCACTCAATAGACCGTACTGACGATTCATCCCAATGTCCATGTGCAAAACAACACCCGCCTTGAGGCGTCGATAGAGCGATGAATTCTGTTTGCACAACTTTAATCTTGTGATCTGAGGCGCTGATCCTCACATTACCTCTCTGACTTGTCTGAGAATAAGGGAACATGGGTCACGTGGTGTATGTTAACTACAATCCAGATGCCAATACGTTTGCTACTCTTACCTATCAGACACATGCGGGTTTGTATTTGGAACTCATGTGTGGTGCACAAATCGGCACCCTTTTGGCTGCCATTGTGAGGAAACTTGGATGAAGGCATTGCCAATGAGCAGTGTGCTTGCATCGGATGGCCAAGTAGGATGTCACAAGTGTGCAGTGAAATTTCGTTTCAGAATCAATCTTCAAAGCTATTTCCCACCTTAACGCAGGTAAGTGCTTACGCAGACAGCCCACACGAGCCACATCTTAGTTTGCTTATTTCCACATTTTACAGCTGCCCAACCAGAAATTTTAACCCATTTTTTCATAGGCCAACGAAGCGAATGCTTATTGCGCTTATCACCCAAGCCGTTTGGGCACTTGGATTCACCGATCCGGAGGAGGAAGGACGGCCACACAGGAACGACCTGGATGCGACGGATTATCGGCTGAAAGGGCCAGCGAACTTCGCACGTGGACTCCTAGTCTAGTGTTGTCATGGCGAGCGCCCATCGCACAATCTTCCATTTCAATGTGCTCAGAAATGGCAATACTCCAATGCGTTACACTTGCTGCTGCTGTTCGCGCTCGCGGAAGTCTACAAAGCATCTTCGCTGGCAAAGGTAAAATGTTTCCACCTGAGGGAATTGTACAATTACACATCGATTATGTTACCGTCAATCCGTTTACCACCGCATATGCTTGAACACGGACAGCAGAAGCGTTAAGCAAATCCCCCCAAATTTTCCAGTTGTTACATTTTCGACAACCTTTAACATGTGGTTGCGTTTAAGTGTGCGCTTAAAGTAGCAAATACTCCCATTCTCATATCCAACAGGCTAGTAAGCAATAACCAACCCACGTTACTCTTTCACGCCTTTACGACATCTGTTTTGGCGTCTGTTTCCGCGATGGCGAGAAGGGAATTAGCGCTTTGGTATTTCGTTTGAACGGTTACCCACTGGAAACTGTGTGGAAACAAATCCCTTCAGGAAGTGAAGCGACACATTGCATGTGGATGCCGCACCACACAAATGGTGTTTCACTTCTGGTGTACAACGTTTGAAAGCGCGTGAAACACGCTTCCATTTGTATTCTTGCATAAAGTACTGAATGCTGGCACTGGGAGGGTAGTTAAACAAGCTACCGTGAGTCACCTTCGAGCTACACACGTGATTGTTTTGAGTGCAAAACTTATCACACCACATTGACTAACCTATATGCCACTGAGACATTAGACTGCACACTGTAGCCTCGTCAACTGTGATTTTATTCAAGGCAACATGCGTCTTCGGTCCGCCAAACGTGTCGCCGTCAGACGAAGAAAATAGCTCGGCATATTTCGATAGTTGCTAAGTAATCAAAGCAGCGCGTTCATTTTATTAAACACAGTTTCATTCTCCGGAAAAGATTTCCATCAAAATGATCTAATCAAAGTCACCCTGTCAGAGTTCAAAACAATCCACCGGCATATTGAGTACCAAACAAAAAATCTCACTGCCATTACGAATGATGCAGTTCAGTGAGCCGTCTTTTCTGAGTAATCATATGACCAGTTTGAAGTGATCACTGTCTCATGTAGCCATCTGAGGAACACTGGGATTGCCACTTGGGACACGGATCCAACTACGCAGTACAACAGGGAGGGCCAACGCAAGAGCAGATATGCAGTGTGTGTGTGTGTGTGTGTGTGTGTGTGCAGTGTGTGCAAATAAATACTGGTCCTCCTAGCGACTAAATTCGGCCCAGGGACGGCGTAAATGTTGGATAAAAATCGATCCGTGACCTATGCGACGTCAGTGATACATGCTGTCTGCTCGCTTTCCGATAAACACATGATTAGAGAAGAGTAGGATACGGACACTCCTTGTTTACCAAACTATAGAGAATATGCTACATGCTAACAGCCGTCCGCCTGATTTACCTATGCAGAATTAAATATTATGTTAGTTCACTCAGCCACTTTGGTCAACACGATCCCCCTGTACCTGAACGGTACCAAGAGACGAATCTGCTATGCTCTATGCATTCACGAACATGAACGGATGCGGCCCTGACTGACAAGGGGGATCCGGTAATCCCCCTGACCCGCTCACCAAATGCGTCACATCAGTGTGTGTGTAGTTAATTTGTTTGCAAAGCTGTGCTGTATTTAAACCCTTATGTTGCTCAATAAAGTGAAAATACTAAACGCGGTGAAGCGTGGGGAAATTGGGTGCTTTCACACGCTCAGTGCTTTCACATTGGTATCTAGCGCATTGAGGTCGCCTTTCTGCGATGAGCGGCTTACCTCTTGAGGTTGGTGTGTACATCTGGACTCACTGGGTTGCTTGTCAGCTAATCTGTGGGACTCTATAAGCATGGGTATTTCAAACTAAACCGAAAGGAACACGCATGGTCGAAATTAAGGTCAAACTAAGTGTAAACGACAACCGCAATATGCTCTGGACAAGGAATACAACCTGGATATTGCTATACACACTGAGCACATAACTAATTGAAACGGATTGAGCAACACAACTGGCTAGAGAGCTGCTAGAACTATTCTTCTTTTCAAATCTGACAGCTTAGGAAATCTCACCCTAAGTGAGCCGTTCGCTGTCCTTATTTGGGTATCTTCAACAAACGATTGCACAAAATGTACTAATACAAAATGTCTTTGTGACCTATTCTCACTGGAATTATCATGCCTTACGTGAAAGTCAGTACAATGAGCAAGTGCTTCTATCTTTTGCACGACAAATTGACTACAGTTACGCTGGCACTTAATGTTCACTTTCAAATCCTCATTATCATCATCTGGCGAGGTGTGTAAATCATTTGCCTCTTTGTCAATAGCACAGTATCAGTTGATCACCTCGGTAACGGGTGTTTCAATTGATGATATGTCTACTGTTTGGTTACGTTATCCGCATTCTAATCATCTCACTGGACGTGCTAATCTCTCACATGCCTGCCGTGCCAAGTCATTGCTCGTCGTTCGCTGCTTAAGCCGTGTATGCTACTTAGTAATCAGTGGGTGATATAATGCCATTTCATTGGTTTCTCCAGTACGTACTTGGGGCAAGTGGGATGCTCAGGGGTAAGTGAATGAAATTAATCTTCTCATTTTATGCCTCCCTAACTCAGGAGGACTGAAGAAAACCCTGTGCCCCAGCTCAGATCGCCCTCCAAGCCCCGTACTGCCTGCTGATATGACGGTTTCCAAAATAATGGATGGGCACCAATTGGGGAATCGGAGACTGAATGAGAAAGTAATGAAGCATTCTGTCAAAAGCACAATGCGTTTGGACACCATGCAACCCAAAGACTGTTGTGCATGTGGCAGCGCGACATACAACCTCACGTTCCAAGGACTGTGGACTCAAAAGACGCACCCGAAGGACTGGCCTACTCATAACCCTGGTCTCCTGCACTGGACAAACCTCATCGGAGCTAGCCACATGCCTAGTTATCGCATCTATCAGTTCGGGGAGCCGGCGAGTGCTGGAGTCTCCGCAGTTTGTGTCTACGGTGATACCACTGTGCTCAAGCAATCCTTCAGCTTGGCCGCCTCAAATGTGGGCAGCGCAAGCGGTGTGCCCACAGGAACGGCTAGAGGAGCGATTGGTATCGGACCCCTACATAGCTTGGTCACCGCTGCCGGTATGTGGAGTGAGGAGACTTTGGGAGAATCAAGATCAACTCTAATCGGGGTGAATCGGACGCATCCACTCATCTCCTTTCTGACCATGCTCGGACCCAGCCCGAACTGGTGTGCTGGGATAACTGGCCAGTCTGTATGTCAGGCCGACTGTACTTGGATCAAGCGCCTGAGTATCGATCTGTATCCCTGGGACGCAGGTGTTCGACACGGGAATACTTATATACCAAAAAACGCAGACCGCAAAGTAAGCGTCCATTTGGTGTCCGATTGGTTGCTGGAGTTGACTGTAATTCAAATAGTATACTGTGGGAGAACGTGGTTAGTTTGTGTATCTAGATGATGCTGGCAACTTGGAAAGAAGTAAAATCTCGCCTTGAAGCTTCTCACGCGAGCAGACAACATGACAGATGTGTACTTTTCTGGTGTAAACTACGGCCGTTGTGGTCAACCAAGTGCTTCACCTCTTATTAAAAATAGCATCCTTGCTTTCAAACACATACGGTTTTTCAGCCGTGATCGTGGGTCTATGTGCATACGAACAGAAGATATCACCTCCATATTGCCAATGAGACATTGGACAGCCGATTACACCTGCTATTGTCGTAGCAATTTGCGACTGAGTAAAGCATTATGATACTTTTCATCATCATCATACACATTAGCCAGAGGTGGGGAACACCTCGGCTATTGTGCCGCAATACATAGAAAAAAGGAAAAAAAATGCAACTGGTGCAAGCTGGCTGAGCTACCGGTAACGGATGGGCATCGTTCCGGTAAGCTAACAGCCGGCTACTGTGCATCAAAAAATATTACAATGCAAAATTAAATAAGGCTAAATAATGAGATCGTGTTTGGAGGGGTAGGCTAAGAGGGAAGGGGAAGGACAAAGAAACTCACAGCAGGAACGACATTGAGGTCGGTTCCTAGCCGTACCAACAAGTGCATCCAGCCAAACGTGTTCATCGTCTTTCGGACCCCAACCATGGAGCCGAGACGCTCCAACCGAGGCATGCTCAGAAGTGAAGGTCTTCATTCCTCTGGACCAAGTTATCGCTTGGCCACCCCTCCTCTTCTTCCATCCACACCCCCGGCGCGCTAACAACGCACGTCGCGGGAGTCGGTGGGCTGGCATGCGTAACACGTGGCCGAGCCATCGGAGCCTGATGCGTGAAATAACAGTGCTGAGCGGTTCATTACCTTTTCCTGTGCCATAAACAAGGCGTCGGACACGCTCGTTGCTCACGCGGTGTTCCCACCAGATGTGAGCCAAATTACGAAGGCACCGGTGGTCGAACGTAACTAGCCTCTTCAGGTCCGCTGTTTTAAGCGGCCAGGTTTCACAACCGTAAAGTAGGTTATGATACTTTTGGGTCTACCGTAATCATAGTTCTACTCCAACTGACCATGAAGCTGCCCAGCAGATGCCAGAAAGTTGAGGGTCGGTCAAGTAGTCCTCGTAAGTCCGATAAACCATTGGGCGGTCGTCTCATCCTTTCGAGAATCGTTAGCAGCTCGCATCCCACCTGGCTAGCCTCTTTCCGTCTATTAACATGATCCGATTCATCATTGACAATGGTTGGGACCTCTATGTTGAAGAGGATGATAACGAAGCATTTGAGCTGGTTACTAGATGGGAATATAGTTCGGTTCCCAATCCACCTAGTAACTCGCCACTGCATTGCAGTGCTTTTCTGGACTTGTCGTGACTAAACAACTGAATTAAGATGAAATCAACTTGTGCCATCTAACCCCCGCCGTGGTAGTTATAATTAGCAGGAAATTCATTGCATCTAACCGTTAAACTCAACAGTTGTTCGCTAAGATATTCAAAGTACCAGTGTGCGGGTGCCGATATTAAGTGTAGTAGCATGAAAGCTTGTTACTTATAAGCTCTAAAATTATGGAAGGATGATCCATTTCCTTGATGAAGGTTTGTTGCCTATCCGGTTAGACAATCTTTTAGTGAACCACATTTAAGTGTAGCGAACGTTCAAGGCTAGACTACTCTTTTTCCATCATACGATCTGATCGTTCTCAGAAAGGGTAGCACGTATGTCACTCGCAACGAGATTCTCTAAAAGCAACTCAGTGATAGTTAAACGGTGAAATATGCCGTACATGTAGTTCTTAGTCAAATGGGGTGCTCGGAGTTGCTTCAGTGATAAAATAAAGTGATTCCTGGTGGAGGGGTTGTTATTTGGAGAAAACGCAGTCATTCCAGTGGTCAGCATCCGTCGAAATAGGCTAGAGAACTGCGTTGTACAGTATACCTGAAACAGGTGACAAGTTCAGCATTCCTCTGCATGGGAGCTGGTATGCATCACTGAAAAGCAACCGTTAGTGATAGACAGCGGGAAAAAGCCGAAGCTTGGCATATCCCGCCGGGTGCTCGGTTAGAGGTGAGTAAAACGAAATTAAGAATGGCGACAGGAAATAATGAACAGCCACTAAATGCCGACTTGCCGTTTACAGTGTTCCGCATCTGTGCAGTTCACACTTGGTTTTATGTGTTTTCCAACGTCATCGCCCGTGGTTTTCAAGCAAAATAGAGGGTATGTTGACGTGTGTTTGTTGCTCTGCTGTTTGTGTGGGTTGTTTAGGTCACGTGCTTTGATGTTTTACGGCCAGTGTACCGTGGACACGAGCTTTGAAAACGGCAAACAGGGCTGCAATAACAGCTTCTGGGAGGGTATTCCGAGAAGAAATTTCTTCGACAATCCAACCGGTTATATGGTTCTGCCATTTTGAGATGGTGACCTCTGTCTGTTGTTTTGACTGAGCTTCAATTGGTGATGGCACGAGTGATTAAGGCTGTGTAGAATTTAGTAAACCATAAGTTGGTCATCACACAAATACCGATAGTGCCCGCTGAAAATGCCCAGCGATCTGTTTGTTCGGATGACAAGTGGCGTAGGCTCTTGACACTGTGGTCGCCCGACGTTGCGGAAGCTCTAATGAAGTGAAATCTCGCTTTAGCCATACTTGGATTATCTATTTAACGTAAGGGCATAGGTAAGCGTTATGTAGTTGGCGAAAGATAGTTTGAAGCGTCCGAAAGTTCTCCTTAGAAGTCTCATGATTTGGATTCCCTTCTTCGATACTTTTATACCGGTGCTCAAAGCCTTTTAAATATGCTGGCCGAACTGAAAGCTCGCCAAGTATCTACACCATGCGCTATGTTTGGTGTTACGGAGACATCGCTACACTCTGGAATGACGGACGCCTAAGTGTGGCTGCTGGGCATGTCACTCACCCGCAAATACCGGCTTACAGAGGGAGGAGGGTAAATTCTGTGTTACCGAAACGACCTGCAGTATAAGGCCGTGGGGGCTTCAGGCTCGCAGTTCCCCGATACTCTTTGTTGCCGCCTGTAATTAAAAGGCAGAGAAATCTGCCCTATAGCATTTGTGTACCGCCCCCAAACTCTACACTAGAACTGAACAGCTAACTTGTGACAGTTTTAAGATACAGTCTAAAGCGAAAACACACCCAGATACTTATCATGGGTGATTTCAACGTACATTATTTAGAAACCCCTGCTACCATTGGAGAACAATTCAAAGCCGATCTGCAAGAACTGCTACCAGTGTTCTATTGTACAAACACGTCGTTTTGCCTACTAGTTTCAAAGTAGGTGGCAGGCTAGCCGCGTTGGCTAATGTGCTTACCAATGAGGGGCATTTGATTGACCTGTTGGTTGCAGACTATTCTTTGAAACGCAGCGATCATGCAGTCATTAGTTTCAACTTCATGTAATATGCGGAATAACGAAAATAGAACCCTGAGATGGTAAGCACCATCACACTCTACGACCGCCTAGCCCAGTATGTCAGAGCCACAATCTGGTTGTTCCTCCTCGAAGACCCCCAAGTCGCCTAGCTCGAATTTATCAACACATTCAATCGGCTGCTTACAGCTGCTTCGGAAGCAAGCGTTTGCAACGGGTCTAAAACAGTTTCCTTCTTAAGGAGCGGAACTCGAAAATGGATAGAAGTTCGCAACACAATATGCCCATTGTATAGGTTAACTCCAAAACCAGAGTCTTGGAACAGGTACGTAGCACCTCGTGACCAGTGCGCTCAACTGCTAAGAGAAGACAGAGCCGGGCATCAGTTGAACATGTAAAAGCTTTTAACGTCAAGGAAAACTGCTGCTTAGCACATCAATGACATTCGAAAGTTGCGGCAGGGATTTCCTCGGCCCCGTACGGTTGACGGCCCAACGAGAACAGCTGTAGGATCCGCCAATGCGTTGCGGACGCGATATGCCCTTAGATATCAGAGGCTTTTCCATCAGATAATCTTCCAGCTTTTATTGCCTCGCCGCCAGGACTCACCTAAATTCCATTTACCACGGAAGCTGTTTTGTAAAGCTGACATTTCTGCGCAACCACCACTCTCTTGGTGTTAATACCACTAGCACAAAAGCCCTGCGAACAGCAGCAAGACTGCTGGCAGAACCTCGGCTTCGGTTTTTCAGCACTACTTAGACCAGGACAAGGCCCTGTTATGTGTAAGCTTGGAATACTAACTCAAATTCAAAAGGACAGAAGCAGGACTGAGCTTTCGAACTATCGCCCGGTATCTATTCTCTTTGTACTGTCCAAGGTTAAGGGCTCTATAATTGGGATTCATCACATCTAGACTCAGTTATACCATCACCACATACCCGGGATAACATTGTATAGCCTTTTCATCCTTTCTAGGATCGTCGGCTGTGCGCAGTCATCGGATCCTTCTGGGGCTCGAACCCGCAACTCGACTGTTGCCAGTCTGTGTTCGAGACCACCGAGCTGAGGGGGACGGCTAGGACCATCCTGACTAAGTTACTCGATGCAAGATAGTGCTGCTCAAAATCCACTGACCGAACTGCTTATAATGCCATAGGTTAGTTTACAGCTTAAGGTTAGTAAGTTCCTCAATTGGTAAGAGGACTAACCTGTTTTCTGCATGGCAGTAACGTGCATGTTAGCGACTATATCACATCTAGGAACTTTTTCGTGATGGTTGTTGCCACCCCCGTAGCTCAGTGGTCTCGAACACTGACTAGCAACAGTCGAGTTGCAGGTTAGGGCCTCACAAGGGTCTGATGAGTGCGCACAGCTGATGATTTTCGAAAGGAAGAAATGACCATACAGTGCTATTCTGGGTGTGCGATGGCTGTCTGACGGAGTCTAGATGTGCTAAATTTCTTCCAACACCGTACAACTCCCCTACTACTTCCTTAGGATCTATGGTTACCGAT